CTGCATTCCTCTACTGCAGGGGTAGTAGTGGCCTTGTATTCACTGGTGAAACGACAAGGTAGCAGGACCTTTTCATGTCTGTGTGATTGTCTGACTATATCAGTGACTGTGATATGGAACCTGGATGAGGATATTCTGAGTACTGTGGTTTGAAACACCAATTCACCTTTTTCCCCAAACTTGTATCTCTAAACCAAACCTCTCCAAAGTCGTTTGCTCAATGGTTTCTCCAGCAATGTCACTGTGATCTCTATTAGGCAATTCAAACTCACCAAGACCAAAGCTGGCCTCTCTAACTGCTTCACTGCCTAGGCTCTCAATTTCCATGATTAGCACAAATATCTACCAGTGTCTCATGGCAAACTATTAGAAGTAATTATTTATTGTTTTACATTCATGGTGTATTTTCTGCCTTTTATGGCTTCTATCTTAGACCTACCATTACAGTTACCTCTTAACCCATTCCTAACATCTGAGATACTTTTATTGATCATTTGTTCACTACTGCATGCACTCAAAATAATACACTTAACGAACTAATCAAATACCATTTCCCAACTCAAAAGGTTTCAGGGATTTTCCATCATAATAATTGGACGTCTCTGATCGTCACCTGAAAATCATCATGAAATGTCTCATTATTGGTATACTGCATTGATTTTTTGTCATTGCTTCTCTTCAGAAGTGTCTAGCTCACTCCCAGCCAATTATCTTTCTTTCTGTCTGGAACATTGATCTAGGACTTTTGAGTTGTTCTCTACCTGGTGTATGTCTTTTCTCAAACTTTGCTTTTCCAGGCTCACCCTCATGCATTTTTCTAAATGGATCATTTCCTCTCATCATTCTTGTCCAAGTTCTATATCCCTCACTTGCTCAGCTTTCCTCCATTATACTCATTAGGACTTAATAATATAATATTGCTTCATTTGATCGTTGCCAATAAGAATTTGGGATACACTATTTCATCTGTTGAAGCCTAAAGTACCTCATTATTAATATGTTATAGGATACTATGAATACTAAATATTTCCTGGAAAATGCCTAATACAGTAACCAACATACAGCAATACTTACTATGTAATACAAAAGGCTAAAAATATTAGTGTCTTTTGCATGTTTAACATCCAATCTGTTCTCTATCATAAACATGAGTTTTCTTTGAGAAACTATTCCTCCTTGATTTTCAATTTGTGTGAGGCAAAACTCCTTTCTCTCCATGCCTTTTTAGCTTCATATAGAGACACAGACTAAAATTATATCACCAGAGAATATTGTTAAAAATGTTGTTAGTCCAGTTCAGACCTGGGAGTTTGCATTTCTTACAAGCTCCCAGGGCATATTTTTCAGGCCAGAATTTAAATGGCACTTAAGGCAATCAAGACACACCATTATTCAAACTTGCATACAACCCGATCTTGATTAGCTCAGTAAAGGGCCTCAGAAGCACTCAAACAAAATTAACTTCCTAAACAGATGAATAGAAAAGGAAAGAAGTACACTCTGAGAAAAGTCGTTGGAACTACTAGGAAGTTGAAGTTCTATTTTCTCTGTATTGGTAAATGTAAAGAGGAGTTAATCCTGGAGATTCAGAAGCTGTTGTGTAAGTAGGTCTCAGGCAATAACATCCATGTAGGAATAAGAAAAATCAACACATACCTCCACAATTATGTCTATCTAGCCTCCATAAACACACACACACACACACACACACACACACACACACACACACACACATATACATATATATATATATGTATGTATATATATATACATATATATATATGTATATATACATACATATATGAGAAATACAAGGGGGAAGGGAGGTAAAGAAAGGGAGGGGACAGGAGGGGAGAGGAGGGGAGGAGAGGGGAAGGAAGTCACACTACCTTTGATTACATTCTACCCGAAAAGATATGAAGAAAATAGCAAGGGAAGAAAGAAACACACTGTAGTGAAAATTTGCTAAATAGACTAATACCAGGGTGAGAAATTGGTACTGATTATATCTTAATGAATTAGTACTTTTCAAAGAAACTTAGAAAACTTGGCAGGTTTTATGGCACATCTTCCAATGAGGTTTTCAGGAACTCTGAGAAGGATTTGACAATGAGGTTAGAATTGAGTTATAGAGCTATTTAAATTATTGACATGTTTGCATACCTGATTAATAAGTCAATGATATCACATAGGTAGGCATTTAACTTTTTAGTTTTTGGAATTATTTTATAATTATATCATTTCCCCTTCCTTTTCCTTCCTCTAACCCCTGCCAGTACCTTCCTTGCTGTCCCTCAAATTTATGTTCACACATATACTCACTCCCAGATATATAAATACAACCTGTTCAGTTCTTATAATGTTACTTGTATATAGATAATTTTAGGTCTGATGATGTGGTATTGGATAACCAATTAGATGACTTTTTCCAGGGGAAGAAGATGATTTCTCCCACTCTCATCATTCCTAAGTTATCTATAGTTCTTTGTCTCAGGTTGGG